GGGCCGCGGTGCCCGTCCCTGCCTTCTTCCCCGGCCGGCATGTTTGTTCCTTGCGACCGCGGCGGGGGCTCCGCCAGCTCCGACTTTAAAGGCTTCACTCTGCTCATGGTAAGTCGCGCTCCTGCTTCCACCTCGCCCTCGATGGGGCGCTGCCCCGACGGGGTACTCCGGAGCGGGCGAGAGGGGTGTGCCGCTGCTTGGGGCCTGGGCGCTGAGGGCTCCTCTCCGCTCTGTGGGGTGCGGGCAGGGGCTTGACTCCCTGGCTCGCCCGCGCCTGTGGGGCAGGAGGGCCGGGGCGCTTCGGTCTCTCTCTCCCCTGCCCGGGGGTCGTCCCCGGGTACTTGCCTGCGGGAAAGCGGGGAGGCCCTGGGCAGGCGGTTGCTGTGCCGTGTGTATATCGGGTGTTTTGCCGAGTAAAAGAGGGGGATTTGCAGGGGTCCTTCCCAGAGCTGTTTCCAGTAGAGCTTAAGGCGGTCTCCTCCCTTTCCGTCAATTTCCCTCCTCAGCCACCCGTTTTCTGCTCTTGTCAAGCTAAGCGTTGTGTGCTTTTGCTGTAAGATTAAAATGCTGTCATCTTACAAAATTTGCAGTATCTGTGAGTTGGCACTGGAATAAAAAGTTATTTTTTCATTTAGATGAGATATATACACGTTTTAATGAAAAATTCCTCATTTGTGCTATATTTAAACGCTGCTTAGGATTCTTTTAGGAAGTGTTTTAATCATCTTCACACATGGTATGAAATCAATTTAAAACAACCTACCTGCGGAGGTTACATTGGTTTATTGTGAGGTAAGAGTTCCAGTGCAGGCTGCAAACCATTGTTTTTCCTCTTAGCGAGCTCCTTTACTGTATTACTTAAAGGTAACCTTATCACCTTTCATCGAGGGCTGCACAGCCTGGGATGACTCTGCAGGCTGCACGGGAAGTCATTGCAGACCAGCTGACTAGGCACAGGAAATAGATCACTGCTGTTTTCTTTGTCTGGGAGTAACAGGCTGTTGAATACCAGCCGGTCTGTAATGGCAGTCTGTAAGTGCTGTTACGTCCTTTTTCACCGTGGGCTTGTCGGCATCAGATTCGGTGTTTCCGCAATTGGTGGCAGCAGCAATTCGTAGACGCGGACTTGCTTATAAATTTGAGGGAAGCAACCGAGAATTTTACCGTTGTGTCCTTCTACAGAAACTGATACTGGAAGACAAACTCTCGAATTTCTCTTTCTGTGCCATCAGATTAGTCAGTATCTGCCCCGATTGGTGATAACCCATGGCAGTTCCCATGAAATGAATCCAAGATGACCCTTAGCATTTTCATCCTTAAAAGATTAACAATCTACTCGTATATAGGTCAAGCTGAGATTTATAGGTTTAATATGTAATATCAGCATTACCATTAGGTGTCGCTTGAGGCGTTCAAATCTCGGCATTAGTCGTTTGAGTGACTTTTATCTACTCCCTGTGCAGAAAAAGAGAGGGAGGACACAAGTTTCCAAGCCTTTGTTTAAGTTTACAATGAGTCAGGATTATTCACAGAAGTGGCCAGGATGCTTCTGTGGGACAGAGACCAAAGTCTGCATTAGTAATCTGTTAAGAAATAGTCATCTTTATCAGAGAATAAGCAGCCACTTTTAGACCAGAATTGAAGTAATTTAAACTTTCACTATTTGAAGAGCATATTGTATTGTCCATAAAACACACTGTAAATCAGTAACTTCTGTTACTTCAGCCAGCAGTGTCAGTGGGAAATGTTGGTCAGCTGGCAACCGATCTAGTGATTTCCACGCTCAACATGACTAAAGTTGGCTACTTCTACACGGATTGCCTGGTGCCAATGGTTGGAAATAATCCATATGCAACAGCAGAAGAAAACTCAATGGAGCTGAGTATAAATGCTGAGGGTGGGTATTGAATGCTGAAGTTATTTGCAAGCTGCATAAGGTGCAAGAATGTTACATTTACTTTTTTTGTTGTTGTTACATTTTGCTTATGTGAACAATGTTTAAACTAAGGTCAGTAATAACAACTTCAGTAACTTCCGGAGAAGAATGTATTTACTGTCAGAGAGGAAACTGTTACTCTTGTTGTTTTGGATAACCAATTTGACATATGGAAGCAATAAGAAATGTTGAATTTCAATCATATGACAATGCAGCCAAAAGTCTCTGCAGTTTTAATCCAAAGCAACATGAAGTGTGCACTTACAGTAAACTGCTGGAATGCAAGCTGAATTTCTGGTGTAGAAGGGTATTTATCCTCTCTTCTTCCTTCCCACCTATGTTTGCCTTTTTCCTTATGTGGTGTTTCTCCCTCTTCGCCCTTCAAATTCTTAGGTTTTTTCCCTGTATTGATCATTGCATTTCATCTTTTTTTTCCCCTTTTAAATCATGGAAATCGCAGAATAATCTGTGAATCTTTGCAAAGCTGCATAAAGATTATCTGAATCATTACAGGAGGCAGATCTTCATATATTTTTCTTCATTCAATCCTTTGAATTTATGACAAGTGAAATTAAGTCCGATGAAGACAATGCACGAAAATATAGGTTTTTTTAAGACTGTGGATATTGTCAGGCTTTCCCGTAGGAATTGATAGCTGAAAGGTTTAGTATCCTGAGGTTTGTAAATTGGATAAATCTGGATAATTCTAAACCCAGATCTCTTTCTTGCTTTCTTCTTACAAAACTTAATATTTCTTCTTGTAGTGTATTCATTACCTTCAAAGAAACTTGTAGTTCTACAGATCAGATCACCTTTTATAAAGGTATGTATGTTCATTAACTGTTCTTATTTCACTATTCAGTTTGAATAGTTCTGGCAAATAGTTTAATTGGCCTAGGTAAATTTTAAGACAAAATAAGCAAAACTAGAAGAACTATGCAACATTATAAAACATTTTGTTTAAAAAAAAAAAGACTGAAAAAGAGCAAAAATATTTTTCTACTTTGTGCTGTAACACGTTCTGCAGTTGATACAATTTTAGCTAACAAAAACTGACTTCTGCATTCATTGAGGGTTGAGGTTTTGTTCTGTTTTTCAAAGCCTCAGAACAACCCACCTATGTTGGTAGATTTTAGTGTAAATACGTCCTTAGTTATTAACAGCCTTGAAAACACAAAATGGTCTGGGTTTTGTCCATTTGTTTTTTTTCTTTACAGTTACTGTCTTTGTGTGTTTGTCTTTTATTGTAATAGCTTAATTTTTGATGTCACTCGAATTTAATTATTTCATAGTGTTCTATATTCATTTAAACTGCATTCATTATGTAAAAAAATGAAGCATTTAGTATTATTCATTGACTGGACAGTGGCTGTAATTTAAAATAAGCAGAATACTACAGCAGAAAAAAATCTGAGCTGCAGTTTTTAGCAGTTCAAAGTGTGGAGAAATACTATGTGATCCTACCATCCCATCTTACTCTAAAGCTATTTCCATTGATATTAATGGCACACAAAACAGGTGGTACTGCTGTTGTTAACATGGTCTTAATGATAATTTTCATCACTATACATGTAGTTCTGATTAAGTAAACAACCAGAGCAGTCCTCTGCTTTTTAAAAATATATTTGAAGCTGAAGACTAAATGGATATGAAGAAAAATGTACATCACTGGTAAATATTCTATGTAACACCTAGTATTGTTGGCTTTTGGCTTTCTTTTTTAAGGACACGATATATTTTTTACTTTTTCTCTCTGTCTTTGCATAAAGAACAAGTACAGGCCATTCTGTGAAACACTGCTTTCTTGGGTGAAAAGCAGCAAATGTGCCAGAGTTGTCCTTCTGTCTAGCAGCCATGCATACCAGCGCGATGATGAGCAACTTCTTGGGTATGTTTGCGTCATTAAAAGACCTAATTAATGTTCCTGTTCTTTTTGACAAACTGACGTATTTCCCTTTACTGAGTACTTTCAGTAGGGTTCTTTTGCTTTGCCGTGTACATAGGTCATAAAATGTTTTAATAGTATATTAAGTATTATGTTATACAGGATTAGTCTCTGAACGTTGTTAGTTAAAAGTACTGAGCAAATAGTAAGCTGTAAGTAAATTGCACTTGACCCACACTGTCAGGCAACAGAGCTTCAATTTTAACTTCTTCATTTCTTGTGGCTGCAAGCAAAGTCAGGGATTAGCTGCTAACGTACAGGTCACAGATTAGATTTTTAACAGTTAATTAGAATATTAGAATCATAGAATCATAGAATCATTAAAGGTTGGAAGAGACCTCCAAGATCATCGAGTCCAACCGTCAACCCAACACCACCATGCCCACTAAACCATGCCCCTAAGCGCCTCATCTACCCGTCTTTTAAATACTTCCAGGGATGGTGACTCAACCACTTCTGCTAACGTACAGGTCCCATGTTTGATTTTTAACAGTTAATTAGAATATTGGTTAGTTTCTTACCTCCGCTTCATTATTCTGCATTTTGAAGGTTTTCTTTAATATAGTAAGTTGTCGTTCTTTTTTTTATAGGAAGTTATCAATTATTACTTGTTGGGAGGCAACTGCAAGGTTCAGACTATATGTATTTTTATTAGATATTACCCCTTTAAAAGACAAGCATTACTCGCTGATTGAGGACATCATAATCGGTGATTTAACAAAAACAAACAAACAAAAATCAGTATTTTTGCAAAAGACCAATTGTTATCCTCAGCCTGTATAAATGTGTAGGGCCTTAAAGGAGATTTAGGTCCGTGCACGTCCCAGGTATAGTTACCAGTGATATTGGCATACAGTTGCGGAATGGCCAGCTAACATGGAATGAAATGAGAGGGACTGATGGTTATTTGATGCTGTCTGAGTCATAAGTTGTGGTGATTTAACCCCCCCTCTCCCAGCACCACAGAATAACTCTCTGATAGCAAAGTCACTCAAGAGTGAGGGTAGTGCATTCAGAAAATACTGAGACTTGACTGAAGTCTGCAGATATTTGTAGTGTGAGCTTACTAAAAATACTGTTTCACAGTGAAGTCCAAGTTGACCCTAACTACCTTTAATTTAATCAACTCCTATCTGAAGGAAGAAAAAGCACGTTTTATTTGTAAATCATTTTAACAACCATAAGAAGTTCTCCTATTTATGTGCTTATGTACCTGGTACTTACCAGTTATGTGAGCCTCTAAAAAGAGGGTACCTTAGTTCTATTTGTGGCAGAAAGTTGAGTAGTTTGTACTGTTTTGAAGCCACAAACTACTTTTTAACTTTGATTTAAGGAGGAAGGGAATGTCAGTGCAATTCTTCATTGCAAGTGTGAGGTCCTCAATGCTTGCAGCTTCTTTCTGTCGCAAGTCATAACATCGGTAGTGTCTTTTATTGGCAGACTGAATGTGTTCTTGCTTTGTTCCTAGGACACCACTACGCTACCTACTTACACCTGATCTTGAGAAAGCAGTTGGAGGCCTTATGCAGGAGCTAAACTGGAAAGAAATGGAAAAAGTAGCAGCTTACCCTGGAATAAATGATACAGAAAAAGTTCTACATATTCCTGGAGGTGGCATCACAAAACTATTGTTTACTGAGAGGTGAGTTGCCTAAAGATAAGCACAGGAAGATATCAGAAGTCTTGGTTTTAGTACATGGGTAAAATGATCTTTTAAACCACTATGTTACAGGAAAAGAGAAAGTCCCTGTTTTCATAGAAAAGAGTTTTATAGGAATAGAACTTCTTCCAGATTGAGCCCATAATTATGAGAGAAAAAAATAGGGAATTCTACATCATAGATTTTTATCAGAATTTAACTTTAAGTGAATGGGCTAAAGGAAAATAATAAACCTTTACAGTTAAGATTGTGATTAATCTGGTATCTGATTTTATGCAAACCACAATTTTTATATAATAAAATTTCTGTACCTGTGATACTTTAACTAAAACTGTCTCCCGTGATAAATAGTTCCATTGTCAGTTGTAAAAAAAAAAACAAAAAAAAAACCAAACCAAAAAAAACCCAAACCCAAACAAAAAAAACCCCAAACAAACCAAAAAACAAAACCCGACCCAACAGTTTAGTGAGCACTAAGAATGAGTTAAGATTTCGGGGCCAGCAAACAATTAGGTGTGGGGTTTTTGTTAAAAGCTGTGTGCATCAGAAGTTGTGCCAAAAACATGTCTGAGTTTCAAATTTTGGATAGTAATACTCGCTCATTTTGGTAAAACTGAGTTAGCTCTGCAAAACTTGTTTGTTTTGTAAGTGTCAGGTGGAAAACTCACTTTTATTTTTTTAGCTATTGTTTTTGACACCTGTCCAAACTGTTGCATCCAGCAGCAGGAGAGTTACTGATACCATGCTCACCTTTGTACTGACTTCAGTATGGAAACAATATACAAATGGAAAAGAAAAGACCTCCCAGGACTTTAGGAAGAAAAATTTAAAAATATAATAACAATCTTAATATCTAAATGAAAAAATGGGAATATTGTGAGTAAAGTAGTGATATGCAGCCTGCAAAACTGCTGTTTGAAATACACAGAAAGGTAAGGAGTGATTGTATCGAAGGATCTGTATAAATGCCCCATCAGCACAAAAATGCAAACTAAGTATATAAAAGAGGCCCTGAGAAACTCTTCCGTGACCGAGGATTCCTGCCTCACAAAGCAATAAACAAATTCAAGACTAAGAAAAAGAACGTGAAGTGTGAAAATGCAACCAAGCAAGTCCGGAGAAGGGAAAAAAGAAATATCTATACATATTCATACATTTTTACTTTTGGTTTTGTTTTTTTTTTTTTAAACAAGCCATATGCAGATTGTTGTTGCTTTTAATACATAAATATAATTGTTCTGGATTTAGAAAAGAAATAGAAATGCCTGCTCATTTTTGTTGCAGCTGTTCAAGAGGAATCCAAATGGCAGTTCTTCTGAAATTCTGCTCAGAAGGGGACAACATCCCTGACGCGTTTGCGCTTGTTAACTATCTTAATGAATGGCTCCAGCTAGTTAAAAGCGAAGTAAGTGCTGTTTGATCTAGAGTTCTTGCTTTCGTATTTTATATCCATTATTTTCATTTTTCTTCAATCCGGTACATTAAATGTGTTACATTTTTAACTTTTCTAAAATTCAGCTGAGTATGGGTTGGGTTCATTTTGGCCCATGGTCATCAAGGATACACCAAATTAAAGCTATATTTTGATTAAAATCTCATGGGGAATTTCCCCACCTGAAAAACCAAACCTAAACCCCAGTCCCTTTGTTTGACAGGTGGGGGGGGGAAATTGCGTAAAGGTTTGATCAAGTTCGATCTTCCAGTACTCTTCTCTAAAGCAACCCACAGTGATATTGACACTTGAAATGCTGCCCATTATTTTAATACACGTGCCAGAGATAGAATTACATCACTATTATTTAAAACTTAAAGAATTATTCTGTTTTTGTTGCAGAGCAACAATTCCACAGATACTTCTTCACAATGGAAAATACCAAGTTCTTGGCGCTTACTTTTTGGCAACGGTCTTCCACCTGCACTCTTCTGATCAATTTTGAATTCTTCTGCAAGTCACGTGTGTAGTCTCAAACATCCCTTGAGAAGGTGATTACATAGTAATTGCTGAGCAACAGTAGCTTAATTTGTTGTGTACATAAATTCTTTATTTAAGAAAAATTCCTTTCACATATGTGGGTAGCTAAAGAAATTAAGGTAACTTTCACAAATTGACCAAAGAAATATGTTTTGTACAGTTGTTTATTGAATAACTTTGGTTGAATTTTTTTCTAATAAAATGTTTTTTAAAAAACCTTTTCCTTTGGTTAAGTGTTACTGCTATGGAAAAGCTTACGGCGCACCTTCTTAAGGTAGCTGAGAACTTGAGATTGCTGTGCAGGCATAGATTTTCTTATGAAGGTAAAACCCTACTGTTCCATGTCAACTGTGGATCTTGGCTTTTTTTCAAAACCTTCCTGGTGATGTAAGCAAAGCTCAGAAGTGACTAATTCTGCCGTCTTTTCCCAATGCCGTTGCGGTAGCTTCAGCTGGGGAGGCTGCAAGCGATACAGCAGCCTGTTCTATCTTTTCTGGTCTACTTCCGTTGTATAATTTCCATTCTGCTTCCAAGGGCTGCAGAGATGCTAAAACTAAAGCTTTCTAGGTCAATGAGCCTTCTTAGACGGATTTGAGGATGCATACGGTGCTCTGAAATATAAAGGAATTTTAAAAATTGCCCTGATACAGAGATACCAGACTGCCTGCTATTTTATAAGCTGAAATGGTAGTTGTGTGATGAGTAATTCATGTGTTTAATGTCTGTAATGGTACTTGTTGCGTTATTAAGCTACATGTTCAGTTTTGATCTTTTGGAAGTGCCTGGTCACATCAGCTTATTTTAAAGTAATCTTAAATCTAGAATTTCCAAGTTATAGCTTATGAATTAATAGACATGACATATATACAGGCTATGCTTTGAAATATTTAGTCTGCTAAATAGATTATTTTTTTAATTGTGGTATTGTCATGCCAGTAGTACAAATGATAAGGAAAAGAACAGCAGCAGTCCTGAAGAAATCTGTTAAAGGTGCAGGCATAAGATTCAGTAGCCAGCTTTGCTTGAAAACTTGTGCCTGTTGGTAAAGAAGAGCAGTTCAGTCTAACTACTCAGTGAATGTGACTGATCACCCAAGGGATGCGATATCATTTGTCTTTTTGGGTTTTTGAAAGTTTGTGAGGTGAGAATCATAGCAAATACCTGTCACAGAGGACTAATATTTGAATTAATATTCAGTTACTGTTCTTCTACCACAAAACAACAAGAAATTTAAGTGTTTCCCAGTCTTAAGTCTGCTTTGCAGAAGCAGATAATGCAGGGCCCAACTGAACCTCGGAGAATTAGTATGTGGAGCAAATGCTTCATAGAATTGTATGTCCAAATACCTTCAAATAATGTCTTAAAATGTAGGCAGTCTCAAGTTAATTACTGTATTTGAGTCAGTCACAAACCTAGATATGGGTAGAACAATGTGAGCACGAACTAACTGCTCCTGGCATTAGGAGGACTGGAGAGGCTTCGTGATTACTTAATTAACGTCTGCAGTGTTTGGTTGTTGTTTGTTTGTTTTTAAACGTTTGACTTGTGTTAACACCAATGCTTCTTAACACTAAATGCCATGCTAGAAATGTAAAGTAATCCTTTGTTCATATTTGTAATGTAATAAGCTTTTACAGTAGTAATGCATGAAGATGCCTTGACTTGTGTTAACACCAATGCTTCTTAACACTAAATACCATGCTAGAAATGTGAAGTCATCCTTTGTTCATATTAATAAGCTTTTACAGTAGTAATGCACGAAGATGCCATGGCGTAAAAAACGGGCTGTGAATAGATTTAAAGTGTTCGGGAATGACTGATGTGCCTGTGATTGTGAATCCAAAGAAACTTACCTGGACAAAAAGCAACTTGCGTACAACTGGTATGCAGGCTACAACCAGAAGTTGAACCAAGTAACATGACTAAAAAGATCACAACATTATTCTGAGCTTAAAGATTTATTTTGGCTCATGGTCTTGTCATTGTTCGACAAGAAGCTTGAGTTTCTATAGGCAAGTGGAAGGCTAAACCATTTGCAGCCTGCCTTCATATAGATCCCGTCATGGTGATACTTCACGCTTGCAAATACTGTTTATTCAAATTTTGCATTTTTAGAAAAGGACTAATGACCTAAATATTTTCTGATGCCATTCGTCACTGTGATGGATCCTCAGATTCTCTGTGAACGTGATACATCACCTGTAACTGGACAGCAGCGAGCACAGAGAGATTTGGTAGCCGTTACGAGAGTGTAACTTACGGCTGGACATCAGTTTGGAAAGCTGACTCTGCCAAGCTGGCTGAAAACGTTTGCCTTGAACCAGTAAATACGTAAGAGTACTTCTTAACTTTAAGGACGTAGTCCAGTGTAAATCACAGCAACTACCTGCTTGTTCTTCTGCAATGCTGAATCTGGAACCAAGTATTCATTTTCCTGATTAGAATCTGACCTTCTAAGAAGTCAGAAGTTGAAGCTGATCGTGGTCCTGGTTTGGGCTTTAGATCTGAAAGCCAGCAGGGTGCGTCAGATTTACCAGTAACGTCAGAAGCTGACCTTAGAATGAAGCTGTAGGAGATACTCAGTTCTCCCTTCCGTGAGGCGCTGACGCCTCTACGTGGTCTAATGACCATGTTTGGTTTGAGTTGGGGCTTTGCTGACGTACTAGAGGATAGGTCAAGAAAGAATGACCTAGCAGTTTAAACATACTCATCTGAGAACATAAACTCTGTTATTTTAGAAGAGTGGATGGATGTGGGTGGGAAGAATACTTTGAACTGACAGCCGCTACACAGAGCGGTGGTTTTTATAAAGGGGGCAGAAATCTAACTTGTGGAGTTCTGTTGGAATCGCTGAGCAAACTGACGTGATGGAGATGGCTGTTTAAATCAGCTGTACCTTCTTGAAGCTTTCCTGAGATTAAAACTATTCTTCAGAAAAAAGGGGAGGAACACCTACCTCTGCATTACCTTAGTGTAGGTCCTTCTACGAGATGAGCGCGGGAGTGTTCCTGCACTTGTGCGGGGCTCAGGTAACTGCAGCTGTAATGACTGTAAAGAATGAGCCCTGAAGGGACGTCTGCTGTTGCACTAACTTGCAGGATACCGAACAGTGCCTATCAAAGGGCCAGCTCTTCAACCACAGCTTGCGTACTGCTTACACAACGAGTACGGCTATTTGGAAATAGTTACGTATGCACCAGAGATGCGCCATGAGGCTTTTCCAACCGTCATAGGATGTTGGTGTGCAGCGGGGAAAGGGATTATCAGCAGGCACAAGCTTTTTAAGTATCTTAGGGGCTATTTGGAAATAGTTACGTATGCACCAGAGATGCGCCATGAGGCTTTTCCAACCGTCATAGGATGTTGGTGTGCAGCGGGGAAAGGCAGGCTTTTCAATCAGCAGGCACAAGCTCTTTAAGTATCTTAGGGGTTTTTTGTTGTGTTTTTTTTTTTAAATAAGGTGATCGTATAAGTTTTATTTAGCTGGCTCTGTTTAAGTACTTAGTTCCAGATCCAATTAACTGCTTCATTTAGGGCTATTCACAAGTGTTGTTTCTCTAACACCTGTGAACTTCAGCCACGCTGCAGTAAACTTATTAAATATCTCTGCCAACTGCAACCTGGTGTTCTAGATGATGCTCAGTACTGCGAGCAAGCTGTGGAGCACGTGTGTTGCATTGCACGGAGCTCATCTGTATAAAGCCTTGGTGTTTAAATAACTTGCGACATACAAATAGCAAGCCCAAACGGGGTTTGCTGCAGCTGTTTGACACAGGCATGCAACTTTGTTCAAGATCCCGAACATACTGTGCAGATGTAAAATACACAAGGTACTAAAAAACTTGAAACACCGAAGCCAACTTCCATGGTTTTGAAATGATGCGTTAAAAAAAATCAGAAGGGTAAAACTTTATTTGGGCAACAAGCAGCGTTGCTTTGGGCATCCACAGGCGGCTAATCAGGTAGGAAAAATATGTATTAATTGGCTGTCTTAATCAGGATGCAGTCTGATGTATGCACGGTGGCATCTGGGGAGCTACAGTTCAGAAGGTATTTAACTGCAAGACTATATTAATCAAAAATCAAAGCAGCTGTGGTAATAGATTAAATTTCAGTCAAAATTCGTATGGCTGGGAACAAGGAGAAGCAGTGACAAAAAGCTAGAGGAGGAAAAACAAGGGTTCTAAAGCAACAGCAAGGGAGCGTTTGGCCGCCAGACCACAGCAAAGCAGCGTTCAGAATTGCTCTGAGGCGTGGGAGTTGGTTTTTCTTTCCTCCTTTTACTGATTACAGCTCACGGTGCGATTTCTCATGAAAATATTCTCTCAAATAGCTTAGACGTAGTCATTTTTATTGTTGTCATTTTGGCTAAACCAGTACTTATGTTACAAACATCTGAAGAAAATGCATCTGCTGGCTAGTGACGGAATGTACAGTTTAGCCTTTTTTTTTTTTTAAAAACAAAGGTCAAGACTTTTTAAAAAAAAAAAATCTTAAAAATTCAATTCTTTCAACTGTTTGCAAATAAAACAATGCAGTTAAGAGTGCAAGCCAACCCAGATTCTTTAACACAGCGTGAGTGTTTCTAAATACAGACGCGCTGGGAATCCCTTGTGGCCGGTGCGCTGAGAGGCAGGGCGGGCAGGTGGCCGGACGCTGCACTAACAACCTGCTGTGGAGGTTAACGGGAGCCAGACGGAAGTGTTGGTTTCGGAGAGGAGGCTGCCCTACCACCCGCTGTTCCTTCGGCAGCTACACATCTGTTTGTGCACCGACCGAGGGAACGCATCATACGTGAAGGCGTCGGGTAAGCTCCCATTTGTAACATAAAGGCAAGATCCCTAAGAAAACCGAAAGCAGTACTTGGAGGTATTTTAACCTAAAAGCGCCATCATGCAGTTAACTAGCAGTAGCTAGGGTAGCTTTCCCGCCCCCTTTCCCTTAAGGTATTCTTTTACGGCTTCTTAACCTTGTCATCGAAATCTTGCAATAAATCTGTGAGAAAGGCAGGCAATGGAAAATACAAAGCCACATTAAGATTTGTTGGTCTTACTCTCTGCTCTTATTCATCGGGCTGACTGACCGTGACATCCATCACGAGCAGTTTCCCACTACTGGCATCTCTCTTCAGCTATTAACAAGAAGTCCGAGGCATGAAATCTAGTATTTGCAAGCAGTTAAAAGGCTTATAGTTCTTACCGTTTTATCGCTCGGAGCTCTTCTAAAACTTTCCACGCTCTCTGAAGTTATGATGAACTCCATGCTCAAAATTGCATCAGCCTTCTCATCTCCCGAGTCGGTCTGACTTCTGGGTTACGCTGTTACGCTGTGGTCTTTTCTTCTGGAGTGCACAGATCCTCCGAACGAGGGTTTCTTAAACTCCTGCGCCCTCCAGCTAGGAGTTTGCACGTATGGCAATGTTGCCTTTGTTTGTTGGACCGGTGGTTTTAACCAGCAAGATACCTTGACTCACCTTTATCAGAGACTCACAGTTGTAAAAATGATTCTATAGCGCTCTCTCCAAATCAGGAAGGAGCAGTACACAATTGATAGAGCAGACGTTTCTGCACTATAGCTAAATCTTGGGTTATACTGATATATTATATATACTGATATATAATCTTGGGTT